ATCTAAAGCTACGGCTTGAGTCAATTGCTTGGTATGGTCGTGAGCACATTAGCGGTGGACCGGGCAAAGCGGAAGCCATATTGATTGTCTGAGAGGAGATCATGAGATATAAGGTACTTAACCACTTCTGCGTTGATTAAAGCCTCGAAGACTTTGCTGATGAGTGATAGGAGACTTATAAGACGGTAGGGTCAGAAGTTGTCACCGGAGTTTCTGAAGACATGGACAACAGATGAGGTCTTTCAACAGGCTGGAATGCAAGAGACACTGAGGCAATATATAGTTTAGAGAGGACTGGTGCTAGTTCAGGAACGCATTTCTTCAGGACAATAGCTGGTATCCTGTCCTTACCACTAGCGGTGTAGGGGTCTAATTTGGAGACGATGTTCCAAACCATCAATAGGGTTAGGTTTATGTCACTCAACAGAACCTCAGTTCTATGGGGAAATCAGGTGCGGGCACTCCGGATGAATCGAGCGTTGAATTGGATGAGAATTTTTGAACAAAGCATTCAGCCTTATCAGCTGAGGAAGTGAGGACCTCAAATTGATTGAATAAAGAAGGTATTCTCGATATGCTTTCGTTCAGCACACTCTGGACAATAGCAGTGAGCCAAGGAGATGAGCGCGATTTAAATTTTTATTTTCTTGCGGGGATAAAAGCCTCAATTCATTGTGCTAAAGTAATCCAAATCATCATCAAACCGCCTCCATGTTTTAATGTTTCTAAAGTGTTCGTTGGGAGGAAAGACTCATCTTTCTTGCGTCAAATCTTCCGTACATCATTATGTCCAAAATCTCAATTTTTGTTTCATCACAGTATGTTTTTTATTTCCCAAACAATTTTCTTTGTACAAGAACGTTTTGACAAAATTAAACCGAGCAGTTTCCATGTGGCCCATTTCTATCTAAACAATGTTGTATTGTGCGTGTATTTACGCTGATACCCATCGTATAAAAAAATTGGCGATGTCTTTCAAAACAACTCTTGGGCTTATATTAACCTCACGACACAGTTTGCGTGCTTTTCTAGGCAACAATTTCGGTTTTCATTCCCGCCCAGACAAATTATCTGTCGTACCAAACTGTTTAAACTTTTTTATAACGGATTCTACCGGGATAGCTAACCGGTTTGAAATAGTGTCGTAACTACTTCCCGATTTGTGGAAGTTAATTCTTTGTCTCAAGTCAACACTAAGCTCCTTTCTCTTTCCCATCGTGTCGTTAACGCAAGAATAACAATGGTGACACTATGCACCACATGATGTTCTTTGCCGGAATTATCACATATATTCTACTGAATAGTCTAGAAGGTTTCACTGATAAAATAATTATGTAAATTACTTATACTGACAAGAATCAATTTAAAATGATATTTTCTACAAAACTAGAGACCAGTAATATTCAGACCCCGCAAACAATCTCTCTGATATATAAGGACCTACAGATGATATTTTATCATCCCGCTACCACCTTTTTTTATCAATATCAATTTTCGTACAAAAAGTGGATCACAGAGCTTATTCAGCTTAAAGTATATTTTCAGAAAATCTCAACTTTTAATTGGTCACTTAATATTTAATAACATCGACCTAGTTTTTGATCTGATTAAAAAGATAATTCCGCCAAACTCTATCAAGCTTCTGTGAGCCTATCACGTGACTAAAGTTAGCAATAAAATATGAAACGTCTTTCATCTTTGACAGTGCGCCGATCGGAATCCTTTGAACTCGTCACACAGTTCCAGGCTTTACGTTAAAGTTCCTTAACATGATTCCAGCCTGAGAGAACACTCATTCACACAGCAATATTTTATATGTTTGTTGAATACTAAAATTTAATGTGAGAGGAAATTGTTAATTTCATGACGCAGCCTAATTTACTCAACAATATTTGATCAAGATAATTTAATCCATTAACACATCTTCCACAATATAAAGAGTGTGACCGAGAAAAAAATAGAGAAACGTTCCACACATCTCCTGCTATTAATAATCTGTTGAGCAATAGATAACCCGGATGTATGAACCGGTTGACTATTGCTAGCGGGCGGATTCAAAATTCTGGGAGGTAAATGCTGTTTTATCCTAAAATCCAAACGCTGTGACGTTCTCTCTAGGTAGTCGAGTCCACAACTACATTCATTTTTGGAAATAACTGAGTTAATATAATTGGCGGGGGGAGGGGATATCCCTGCAAATGGAAGAAAGAATAGGTCGAGTAAAAAAATATTACTTGAATATTAGCAGAAAAATAACAACTGTTGTTTGCAAATGAAATCCGCCTAGGTAAAGACACACCCTCTGAACCTATAAAGGGAAGGTGCAAATAAATGAGACATTTTTTTTTAACAAGATGAGGCTTAGCCCTATGAAAATTGTTGATGACATCAAGGAAAGCAGCATCCAAAACATCTGAAGGATATCCACTTTTGGAAATTTTCATCTTAATAAAATCAATTTCCCCTGGGGGTTAAATTTTAATTACGCCCTTCCATTATAATGTTCTCTACAACAAAAAACTTTATCTATCTATCTATCTATCTATCTATCTATCTATCTATCTATCTATCTATCTATCTATCTATCTGTGTGTGTGTGTGCGCACGTGTGTATCTATGTGTATATAATTTACATATATCAATGTAAAAAATAAACATCAATATCACAGATACACACATATATATATATATATATATATATATATATATATATATATATATATATATATATAATTAATTGTATACGGAATGAATTCCAATAACCAACAATTACTATTCTTAAAAGAGTGCTCAATAGAAAGTAGAGCAGATATAATTATTTTTTATAAAAAAAAAAAATTATGGCATAAATATGTTATAAAATCACTACAAAAATAGCCATTTTGTTTCCAACACCCTCGGTGTCTTATCAAATGATGATGTTGAATAAAACCATTTATTTTATATTCAACATCATCACCTGATAAGACACCGAGGGTGTTGAAACAAAATGGCTATATCAAATTTCAGTTTTACCTTCCAAAATTGAAATAGCTTTAGGAAAGGTTGTAAACATATGTCAATATTGGCAAAAGTGATTTTTGTTAATATTAAACAGATAAAGATTAAACGAAATATATAATCTGAATATTTTATTTGCTTTCCAGGCTGGAAAGATGTTGATGCGATTGTCTGTAGACATTATATATGAAAATATAAAGATCATTTTTAGGACTAATATGTTTATCTTGGCTGGTAAATTCACAACGTTTCGACTATTTTACTCACTGGCTTTCTTTAGGTGTCTGTTGTAGATGTAACATTTCAGAAATTGGAATGGAAAACATGATTCAATCACAAGAGGTAGATCTTTTTCATTTCGATGTCACAGTTGAAGAACCTTCGTATCGGTAATTTCGATCAAATACAATTAATCCGTTTTTAATTATGGGAAAACAGAATAAATTGTCATTAGAAAGGGAGACAACCAAAATTGTGACCTACAGAAATGGATTATTTTGGTCGTGTTGTAAGATATAACGAAAACATGACACAGAATTCCGAAGGCATGTTGAATTAGCGATAACTGGCTTTCAGAAACTAAACAAAGTATTAAAAATAGGAAAATCTCGATAAAATAAAAACAAGTAAAGTATAGCAAAGAAATACCGAAATACTATATAATATCTAGCCTCATATACGGCATGATAGTTAAGCATGGTGGGAAAACTGATAGAGGCTCAGATTTAGGAATTGGAGAGTCGAGTTCGAATTCTATTACATTCACTTACGTGCTATTTAAACTACACAAACAACCTAGAGAAAGGTATGAATCCTCTTCTTCTACCGCCCCACCCACAGCTATAGATTAATAGCAAGACTGAGTGGGTTTTATAGCCTTGTGTGGCAACCCGTCTAGGAGAAAATAATTCTGAATTCAAAACAGTATACAGCTAAAGATGATCCCGACTATGGTCGACTTGGGTAGATTGATACGACAGTGAATGCTGAATAATGTCTTTATCGAAACGACAGACATGTGTTTCTATAGATGGATTCTAGGAATATAGAGAATATTTCAGAAACAAGGAAGATTAAACAAGCTAAAAAGTGAACAAATACAGAGAAAAAAAGATAATATTTCTATGGCATATAAAGTCTCGAAGGGATAATCGACTTCCATAGCATATTGGCCATTTTGTATGAATAGATGACGGAAAAGAGAAGGAATTATTGAATCAAACGTTTCTTAGAGCAACAAAGGACAGCATGTTGGGGTGAGACATTAGCCTCGATATCTAGAAGATAGCATATAAAAAAATGTTAACGTCAGTTGTCTTTTCCATTGTGTATATGACATTTTTCACAGTTATTTTTTTTAATTATTTCACCGCCAAGGAAGTGAGACAGAAAGTCTTCCTAATAGCGACGGGAACTAAGAAAGCGTTATCGAGCAAATAGAAAAATAAAAGAACAGAAAAAAAAAAGATGGAAGATAACGACTGACGTTGCATTTAAGTGCAGCTTTATTTTTGACTTGTATACTTTCACCCCAAGAAAGACAATAAAGCCACTAAGACGCAAGGAGTAACTTAGCGTAAAGGTATAATTAAAAGAAAAATATCATTTGGAAGAGAGGACATTAAAAGAATACAAATCAAGAAGATAACAATTGAAATTGCATTTAAATTTTTGAAAATCAAAGTTGGCTGGGGAAAAAAATTCCACAGGCGAGAAGTGTGTGAAAGCACCAAACAAAAAAACATACGCTTAAATCTAATTAATTCAACTGTAAAATGATGAAACCTTATTGCCAATCTAGTACTGCGTTTAAATTCATAAAGTCTAGTTACCACGGTGAAAAGTACATGAAACATGATAGAAAAGGCATGAGCAAACGAAATTACGGTGGTGGGAAATTGACTGAAGCCGAGATGCCAAGTCACGATCAATAACATTGCAGATGCTTCTATGAATTTTCTTAAGAATTTCTAAATACATGTTGTCCCCCAAAAATGTCTACACACTTTAAATAATTATAAAGTCAGAGTTTACTAAAATAAATTTCATTTTCAAAATTTGATAGAATCTACAAACATTATTTTATTGTTTTGTTAACGCCTGTTTTCAAATTGACGTCCGTTCTGGTCGAGGTACTGCTGGCAACGCGAAGTAATGGAATCACAAACATCACCAAGCATTTCGATTGATATTTTTTTGTCTTTTCTCGTTTGATGAAGGCTTTCAATTCAGCACCTGTTGCAGGTTTCATCGCGTAAAGTTTTTCATTCAAGTGTCTCATAAAATGTCTAGTCGTGTGAGGTATGTTGAACGCGGGGGATATTCTACGAAATCCCTTTGTCTAATCCACCTCTTTGGCAAGATAAGATCATGGTAGGATTTTACTGCACTCTTCTGTCAGAATCATCGTCATTCATAGCAAGGATTAATCTTGGAATGTAATTTTTCCCTTGACAGCGTTTCAAATTGCGTTAGACAGACCATTTTGAAATACCTACTACACGATTTTCTTGTAATTTGCTGATACATTTCCAGTGCTCTTTCTTGCTTTGTGGCACTTATAGATGTCCCTTGTCTTCCGGAACACTTCCCGTTGACCTTCTGAAAAGTTCCATCGGCTTCAAACACCTCTAATTCTGGTGATCTTAAGACGCGTTGGTGGATCTGTTTGAAACTCCCTCCTAAACCGTCTTTGAACTTCGCCTGCGTTTTCACACTTCTAGTATCTCTTTAGAATGTGTAGAAAGTTTCATTTGACTGCCATCTTTAAATCTAATGGTTTTAACCTGTGTACACCTTGTTTTGGGAAGCCCTGTATACCCTTGTGCCTATTAACTGAAACAAAACAAATAATTTCGTTATTATTTACTTTATCTATGGTATTTTCCCAATGAAACATGACCCGGTGAACATGGTATTAATTCGTATGTCATTCAACGAAGTCGTCGTCTTGGGTATGACGTTAAACTGCATCCAGCAGCAAGGCCTCTGATCGGATGGTTTTGAGGAGCGTGGAACCACCTCTTAATTGCTGATGTTCCCAGGTCCGCCCTGACCAGGGGTTGTAGCACCTGTTAGGGTCCCAGCTATGGGCAAATATTGAACTCCCAGTCTAGCCCGCGTCCTGGGTATGACGATAAACTACATCCGAGTCCATGGGTATGACGGTAAACTGCATCCGCGTCCATGGGTATGACAGTAAACTGCATCCGCGTCCATGGGTATGACAGTAAACTGCATCCGCGTCCTGGGTATGGCGATAAACTGCATCCACATAATGGGTATGGCGATAAACTACGTCTAACAGAAAGGCCGTTTTTGAAAAATTAAGGTTGTCGGCTATAATTTTTTGGAAAAGTAGTATTACCAGCCATATATTTTCGAAGGAATAATATTACCAGCAGTGTGTTTTTGAAAAATGATATTATCAGCCATACGTTTTTGAAAAAATTATATTACCAGCCATACACTTTTTGAAAAATAATATTACCAGCTATGCGTTTTTGGAAAAAATAATATTACCAGCTCTACTTTTTTGAGGAATGATATTTAAAAAACGAAAACAAAATCTTATTCAATGGAATTGTAACTGAGGTCAAAACACTGTGAAAGGATGATGTTTTAAAAAATAAATAAATAAATAATGTTGCCAGTTATACGTTTTAAAAAGAAAAAATGTTGCCAGCTACACGTTTTTGAAAAAAAAATGTTGCCAGCTATACGTTTTTGAAAGAATGGTGTTGCCAGCTGTGGTTTTTTGAAAAAAAATAATGTTGCCAGCTATACGTTTTTTTTTTTTTAAATAATGTTGCCAGCTATACGTTTTTGAAAAAAATAATGTTGCCAGCTGTACGTTTTTGAAAAAAAAATGTTGCCAGCTATACCAAAATCATTTTCGGCATAAAATGACCACTAAGGTTGGAATGCCGTTAAACAAAACAAACAAACAAACAAACGAAGTCGTCCATTGAAGATTGACCCAAAATTCTTGAATGGATTTAAATCAGGAGAGTTTCCGGGCCAAACTATGTTACTTTTATTTGCTCACTAGCAAAGCTGACAGTTTGTTCGTGCATCGTTACAATTCAGTACGCTTCCTTGGAGTAGTGCCCATCCCAGACAATAGCCGTAGGACAACTTATCGACAGTTGAGGCAATAGTCTCTTGGCGGGATAAAAATCTGATGTAATCATAGATAACGCAATATTTTTCAAACAAATTTCATCATACACCCCTAAAATACATTTATACTACTGCACACCACTACAAATTATGTAATCAGAAAAAAATGAGACACCGTTTGACCTTTAAAAACTTTTTTTCTCGTGACTACTGGCAGCTCCTTAATAGTGTGTTAAATAGAATAAATCTTATATCCACGATCTCTTCACTAAATTTGAGGTGGTAACATCTGCTGATAAAGCAACATGTTTGGCTCGTAAATTCTTTTCAAATTCTACCGTTGACTCAGTTATAAGTGAAGATATTCATTTTCACTTAAAACTGACCAGTAGAAGGAGAAAGCCAGAAGATGGAGGTTACATCGATAAGATCATTAAGTATTATTGAAATTCATCTTTTTTTTCTCCAGAAATTATAGCAATCATTTTTTAAGCGTTTCACCCCAAGCAAGACGGGAGTGCCACCACCACGCAAGGTGTTAGAGAGGGTAGAGAACAAGAGTAATGAGGTGTGTTTGGGAAGAGGAGAAAAAATAAGAATGGGAAAAAAGATCAAGGAATCCGAAAAATTATAAGAAGGAGAAAAAAGAACCTCAACTAAATTGCAAATGTATCAATAAAAAAAACGATTTATGAGTTTTATAATCAATAGATACATCTAAGAAAAGGATTTCTAATTAAAATCCTTAACAAGGATCTTTTATCCAAATTATCTTTAACCAATATAGTATTATTGAAATTTTTCTTTGCGTATATTATTTAATATTATTTATATATATATATATATATATATATATATATATATATATATATATATATATATATTATATATATATGCGTATGTATATATTATCGATTATATCTATGTTGTGGATGTCTATGATATTCAATGAAACATGAATTTAAAAAGGTTTCTGCCATATATATATATATATATATATATATATATATATATATATATATATATATATATATATATATATGTATTTCCTTAAAGACGGCAGACAAGGTACAGCGATTAATCTTTTTACTTCATTTTTCTTGTGTTCGAACACGTGTTTTCTTACCTGGATACATAGTATGTAGAAACTGTTTAAATGTCCTTTAATTACGGGCGCTTTTGGCTATATTTTTAGCCATTATCAAGGATGACTTTAACTGATGTATGGGATGTGCGTATGTATCTAGAGTTACACGGACATTTTATTTTCCGAATACACTCAACACGTTGTGGTCGAGTTCGTACTTAATATTATTGAGTGTTTACCATTTCTTTTTTATTATAAAGGCTCCCATATTTTTTAGCTTTTTTTACATGTAGATATCGTTATTATGCTTGCATGTCTGATAGGTGTAACGAAAGTCGTCTGGTTAGGCATGTTGTAGTGTGAGCGATGTAATTATTTATGAGTTCGGTTTGAGGCATTTGAACTCATAAATAATGTTGCTTCCTTGTAGTTTTTATTTGGTGGGTCTTTTGTTATATTTGGGGATGGGGTTAGCTGTTCAAAATGTCTGTAGTAGATAAATAATTTAAATTTTTATTACGCTTAAGTGGAGTAGTGTATTTCATTATGGTATTTCTAAGTGAAGATTCAGCTTGTATATAGTTGACATGCATTTGGCGTTTGTAGAAAATATTTGTTATTTTTGTCTGTGTGTTTAATATCGTTCTTAACTTTGGAAAGAAATATTCTAAACATATATAAATGAGAGATTTCTGCCTAAATAAGCAATACACACACACACATATATATATATATATATATATATATATATATATATATATATATATATATATATATATATATATAGATAGATAGATAGATAGATAGATAGATAGATGTCCCAAAATAATGTATACAGTCTTTAAATATTAACAGTTAATAAAACATTACTGTGATGTGAGAACTAACATGGATGAAAATATGGAAACCAGAGTGATTGAAAAAACAGGGACAGTTGAATACCCACCTAGATCACCAGATTTGACACCCTTGGGTTTCTTTTTGTGAGGGTTTCTAAAAGACAAAATTTACAGCAGGAAACCTGAAACAATTGCTGAAATGAGAGTAGCAATTGAAGAAGAATGTGCTCGAATACCAGAGGAAATGACACTGGACGTTTGGAGGTCTATATCTTCAAGATATTAAAAGTGTATTGAACAGAACGGCAACCAGTTTGGGAACTTGATATGAACTCATCATTATATGAAAATTCTACCATTGTGCCAAAGAGCTTTTATCTCATTAAAGTTAATTGTCTCAAAATGTGTATTCTTCTCTTGTATTAATCTTATTTACAAGTGAGAATACATAAATTGAATAAGTTATAGGGATTCAAAGAGTGTATACATTATTTTGTGTCACCCTGTATATATGATTAATAGAAATAGGAAACATGGCACTTTTCTGGTTGATCTTCAGCATCCCGACTAGAATTTCGTAGACCGGCCCTCCAGCAATCGTTGCATCTGCTCATCAAATATATATAGGAATAAAACAAATATAAAATTTCTCTCTTAGCTGGTTGATGTTAAATTCATAACACCTGTCCAGGGTTTCGAAGACCAATCATTGTGTAACTGTTCGGTCCACTTGTCAGAAGGTATCAGCAATTGTTTACCGATTTTCTCATTTTCGTTATTTTTATATTTATTTTTCAATATATATATATATATATATATATATATATATATATATATATGCTATTAAGGTATTACTCTACAACTGAATTGGGCTCTCCGGGCCACAGGTGTATTTCGTAGAGAAAACATTAAAATTTACCTTCCTCTCTAACCTAGGGTGAAGATCTCCGTCTGATGCCAAATCGGTCCGGTATCGATCCCGGCTTGAAGCAATCGGACGACTAGCTACACTGATTAGCTGTGATGGAGCGAAACAGACTGTCTGTAATTGACAATATATATACACTCGAGAAAGCTGGTTGAGCTGTCTTGAAAAATGGGTAATGTTAAAAACAGTGGCTCCTACTGCTATTAACGCATTGCACTTCAACTGAATTGAGATTTCCGGGCCTGTTGCGCATTTCGTGTAGAAAACACTAAAATTCCCTTACTCTTTGCCGTGCTACGATGGCGTAAGAGTTAAATCGCTCGGGTTTCGATCGTAGCATGAAGCAATCGGGCGTCTAGTAGATCTGAAGAGCTCTGATACAGCAAAACCGTCTGTCTCTGGATGACAATATATATATATATATATATATATATATATATATATATATATATATATATATATATGTCATTCGCAGAAAGTATTGTTTCGTTGTATCACAGCTCTTCAGTGGGACTAGACATCCGAATGCCTCAAGCCCGGATCGAATCCCAATCTTCATTCGACAGAGAGAAACAAATAAATCTAGCGTATTGTTATAACGAATGTAAACAAACGCTAATCAGCCGGAGTGCTCCAATTCATTTTACTGCAGATGGCTGTTGTTTGTAGAATTGGCCTGTCACTCAACAGTGCTCAATTGAAATATTAAATTCAGTTGGATTAATATGAATTTGTGACCTTGGGTTTCCAGCTTTTGCGATCATCAGAGAAAATAGTTTATTTTTTTAGACACACATGCGTACAGTTGTATCCATTTTACTTCAAAATAACACATCTATACAAAACAATCTGAGGCTAGGCGCAGATACACATCCAATGCGTTGGGCCATACATACATACGCAGTTGTAATAGTGTTTTGCTGTCAAGTTCGTAGCTCTTATTTTATATGTAGCGATGAGTGGGTACGGGTGGCCTTGACGTTTTTCAGAACTACCGCCTGCGCCGTCAGAGAAATTTACACTTCCTCATACAGACACATGTAGACGTACACATACATTCCTACTGGCCAGGGCCTTCTACCACCACTTTGGGTAAACCGGGTTCTGTTTGTGGGTATGATGATGATGATATATATATATATATATATATATATATATATATATAAAAGTGAACATTGAAGGCGGTTTCATGCTAGACCCAATCGTTGGCAGCCTGACGATTGCGTCTAGCATGAAACAGCCTGTCGCTTGTGAGTGTTGACTTCAATGTTCATTTTTATATTTATATTTAAATACGCTCTATATCTGATATTGAGTAAATTTATCCCGTAAATATATATATATATATATATATATATATATATATATATATATATATATATATATATATATATATATATATATATATATATATATATATATAATGATTTAGCATCAATTTATTCTCCTTAAAAACAAATTATGGACAATCTGACTTTTCAAGAAGGTTAATCTGTTTTTTGCGTCTATTGTAATTAGTACTGATTGGCCAAGTGATTATTATTAACACCAAAGGGCAGTGACACGCGCGTGCGCACACTCACATACACACATATTATGAATAAAGCAGAGACATTCAGAAAGCTACTTCGCATTCTATTTTCTAAATAATCATGAAAGATCATCTTTCGCCTTTGGAAAAAACCCTAGGTTACTACGTAGTGTAACGGATTACCTTCTTGCCAGAGATCCCAGAGCAAAACATTAGCGATCTTAGAGTGTTCGAAAGATCACTCGTCGGGTGCGTGTATATATATATTTTTCCTCTGTGTATGCAAAATACAATACAATGCTGAAAAATATAACAGATCGATAAGTTACAAAGGTTAAGACATGCTCATATAAAACGAAGTACAACAAATGTTTTGTCTCCAGAAACTGTGAACCATGGAAATTTTCATTTTATTCATTCAAAAGGGAAATCATTTCACTACTGTGATTTTTTTTTGTGTTTTAAAAAAGTACATTTTTTCTATATATTTTTCAAATTTCAATAAATTTGACTTCGAGGCATGCTTTTACAATTGTCACGGGAACAATGGTCTAATTATGTTAGCGTAAATAAATCACGCGAATTTATTTCCACCATTTTGGAGAAAGTTTTCTACAGAAAGAAAAATAGTTTTTTACGAATACTAATGATTATTGTAGGAAAGCAAAGTCTCAAAGGGAAATAGCTCTGTGAAAAGCGAATAGATTGAAATCAATCATAGCATTCCTCTTCGATTGGTCAATAGTAAGCAACCTGACGCAAATTTTTTACAATGAAACTGGCCCGTTACCAGTTTTTCCGTCTCGTTTCGATTTTCAGTTAAGGATCCAGCATATTACTTGGAATCGCATGTCTAGATGAAGTTGGTGTTATTTGCAGTTTGTCTCGTTTAAAAGAAAATTACATTTCGCTATCTCATTTATTTTTGATACATTGGTATATCAAAAATTGAAATATTTGAATTTTATTTAAATATAACTCTCTCTTCATTTTTATCTATTAGATTCTGTACATGTTTGTCTGTTTATCTATCTATCTATCTATCTATCTATCTATCTATCTATCTATCTATCTATATTCATGATGTATGGGAGTATGTATATATCTACCTCAATCTATTCATTATCTATCTATATATATATCTATCCATCTATTACATTTTCATATGTATCTATTAGATTCTGTTCACATCTATTTTTTTATCTGTCTATCTATATCTATTAATTATGTAACTATGCATCTATCTCAATCTATTCGCTATCTATCTATCTATCTATCTATCTATCTATCTATCTCAGTCAAAGCATATCTATCTGAATGCATATTTACCTATTTCAATCATTCCATATCTGTGTATCTATCTCAATGCTTATGTATCTATGTCAGTTAATGAATATCTATCTATCTCAATACATATCTATCTATCTTAATGCATATATATGTATGTATCTATCTATCTTAATACATATCTATCTATCTATCTATCTATCTATCTATCTATCTATCTATTCATTATACCTCTATCTATGTATTTATCTATCTGTATCTATTTATTATGCATGTATGCATCGATCTCAATCTATTCATTATCTCTCTCTCTCTCTCTCTCTATATATATATATATATATATATATATATATATATATATATATCGGAATTAAGATATTGTCCATACGAATTCAAAGACATGACTCAAAAATGTTAGTTATGAGAAAGCACTTTTAAAAAAATTATTGTGGACATTTTTTAGCATACTTTAGTGATTTTTTTTTAAATCATTTTTACCACATGAAAGCCGATAAAGCCACTAAGACGCAAGTTGTTACTGGGAGTGAAAGAAAGTCGGAAAATATTATTAATGAGAAAGGACAATAAAAGGACGGTAAACCAGAAAGACAGGGGATTCTGATTGATGTTGCAGTTAATTTTTTCGAAGCTCGTATTTAATGGGAAAGCGTGAAATAGGAGAGAAGAAACTATTAGAATAGAACTTACACCTTTTTTAACAGTAAAGTGTTCAAACCTATCTACTAATCAAATACTACGCTTAATTACATGACGTCCGTATATCAAAGAGGAATGCTCAGTGCCGGCTTAGAAATGGAAATCAGCGTGCTGAGATCAAAATTTGCGTTAGATTGTTGCGTTCATTATCTATGGCAAAAGCTATGAATTCATTTATTCTCCCACACAGCCATGTTTTAAATAGCAGAACGGAATATTCTCTCCAGGCTTGGCTGAAAACCCGTCTGGATGATAAGATTTTCTGCGTTAATTAACTGTGAAGAAATGCAATAGGAAAATAAAAAAGTTCACTCTCTTCGTAAGCAATTCGTGTCAATTCACAGGTAATAAATAACAAGAAGCTGTGGCGGGCTACAATCGCCTCCCTACTGGAGGGACATGACATTAAAATATATAAATACATTCATTTTTACATCGAACATAATTGTAATATATTTGTAAAGGTGAAAAAAAATAAGAAAATTAAACTTTGAAAACGTTTGACTTTTTTGTTTTGTTTTGCTATAGTTTACACAATGCAATGCTTAAGATCTAATGAGTTTAGAGTCAATGAAGTGTGTGATATTAAATAAAGAATAAGTAGAATGAACTAAGGATTATTAGTCTAAGGGGTACAGATAGCAATTGAACTTGGACTTGAAGAGGGTGTAGGGTCGTTATCCATTTTTTTACAGTTATGACTAGCAAACGGAAGCAGATTATAAAAACAATCTTGCACCTACGCAGATCACTTACACAAAGATAACAATTATTGACACCCAAAATGTTCTAGTCAGCATAGACAGCCAGTCAGTAATAAAACAGACCCTTTCTGGATAGTCGTCTTAACAGCGTTCCTCCTGATAGCACTTTTAAACATACCTGTAAGACGTCACACACGCAGCTGCTCAATGCATCTAACACGTGCTGCTCAATGAAAGAACTGCCACTTTATTCAGTAAGTCCCTTATAAACTCTACGCACTTTCTAAATTTTCATGAAACAAATAAAAACGTTCGACATTGCACACACAATTTTTTTTTCATTTCCTTGTAATTTCTTTTAAACTTTCATATAAAAATGTTGTTTTTTTTTATAAGCCTTGTTCTTAATTGTTAGTTACTTAATGAAATTCCCAAACACACATTATTTATCGAAGTTTTGGTTGGCGAATCATTTCCTCAAGATGAAGTTTTCAATGTTCGGAGAGGCATACACGCTGGAGTTTATTACACAGCATAGCAGTTCTCGTGACAAAAGCTGTCTGCGTGGAAGTGGAAGGTTACTCGGAGTAAGAATCATCTTTTGAATCCTCTTCTCCCCTCAGTTATGGGTAAATAGCAGGACAGACTGGGTTCTATAGCCTTGGATGGCAACTGGTCTAAATAAATTATAAGAAAGAAATGGAAAACATGATAATATATTTAATATCGCATTTTAAACAATGCCTTATGCTAAATACATGTTTTTCTCATATCATGAATTTATTTAAAAAGTATTAATAAATAAATTATGGAACAACCACCTAGCAAAATCTTTTCAACAGCATATTTTAAAAATCTGCCGTTTGTAAGTCATGTATGGAAAGATGGCAAAACTAAACATGATCGCCATTTGCGAAGCAAACTAGAATATCACGCATGGAAAACGAGTTGCAGAGTAGAGAATTGCCTCCGACAAAGCAAAATACAAACCAACAAAATAAAATCTTCTAGGAAATGGTAGATGTTTGGGGAATGTCTTGTGTGTGACATGAATATTAGAGAGGAAGATTTGAGACCGAAAGAGGATATATATTGACCCATGCTTTCTTAACTTAAACCGAAATTAGGATTGTTTTGTATCGTCCAATGGAGCAACCACCTGCAGCTGGATTAAAATCTTTTCACTAAACAGCATCAGTTTAAAATGCGTGAAAGAACTTTCAAATCAACAAATGCTATATTAAGAGCCGAAATATTCTGTTTTCGTGGAATTAGTAACTCATCGTAGGGATCTGCTAGCTTCGCGCCAAAATAAATACAAGATCTGAAAAGGCGGGAAAAGAAAACAGTTCCGGAAAAAGAATGGTCTTCTGGCCATTTTTAAGTTGTAGTGAAGCAAATGAAGTTATAAAGAATGTTCGGTAAACAAGAACCTTGCAGAGTTGTGCCCGAAGAATATTTGAAAAACGTTTACGGCGAGCCCAAAGAGAAAGACAGCATGGTTTGCAGAGAAAGAGAATATAAGTGATTCCGTACAAAACAATATTTGTTATACACAGACTATAATTCAACAAAATTAAAATTAACTTAGAAATTTAACAAAATTACGAGTCAAATGCTGGAGGAACCTATCAACGATTAAAACATAGGACATCCCTGCTATACTTATTAGCCCCTGTCGAGGGATAATATTCGAAAGTTGGAGAGATGACAATTTAAAACATATGTGGAAAACGGAGAAAAAGTCGATTTGGCAGCTTCAAAAGTCGAAAACTTGGTAGATCACATTGGATTAAACTCTAGTAGTGTAAATGTTCATATACACCACATGCTTTCTTAACTGCTGAGTGAGGTTAAACCGATTATCACTTGAAGATTGTTTTGTTTGAGTATATATTAAGTCCTACCAGTCAGCTCTTTGTAAGTAGAATGTTGGTGTATTTTTGTTTTAATATTACATGAGTCTGTGGTTGTATTTTGTTTTAATATTACATGAGTCTGTGGTTGTAGATGTTTTAGTTGCTGTGTAACTTATTTTTTTTTATCTGATGAGAGAAAACCGATATACTATGAAGTGATTGAAAAGTAAGTCCCTACTTTAAGTATTATTAGCCAGCCAGGAGTTCTGACATAATATTCTGAGATTCTTTTGTTCTTTGGGTTTGTTTAGTTTAGAGCAAATCTATTATACCAAACTAAGGCTTTAGTAAAAGCTGAAGAGCGAATACAAGAACTTACGTCTTCCATGCCTCAAGAGTTTCTGGTATAATCAGTTGACGTGTGAAGTTGGTAGCGAGATCTTGTGCTCATATCGCATTTTAAATAAAGCCTTATGCTAAACACTTTCCTTTCCTATATATTTATTGTGAAAATTATCGTTAAGAAATAAATTATAAGTATTAGGGAGTTATTTTTCAATCACACTGTAGTTTATCTTTTTAATTGTTATATTTTGGTAATACGATGATATATATATATATATATATATATATATATATATATATATATATATATATATATATATATATATATATTTGTTGACCTCATTTTCTGTGTGTTGTTTTGATTTTTTGCTACGAATGACCTTGTAATACGTGTGGTTTTAATTTTAATTTAAAGAAATTATTTTGGATTTACGAGAGATCATACTTTTAATTGAAAACTAATGTCATCAAGCTGAAGCTACTTTTCCTGGTAAAAACACATCATTTACAATATATACACTTAGGACACACAGATTTTGGGTAGATACAAACATTTGAATTAGTAAAGACTATATATATATATATATATATATATATATATATATATATATATACTAAACTGTTGGCTGAGTATCTTATAACAGTAGCTCCCACATATGATGATTTGCGATGCTACATTGTGACCTACTGATGTACGCAGATGTCCCTTATGACTGACATCTATCTACATCGCTACATGATCAGTATAATGTAAAACTTCATACAAATGTAATTTCACAATGCCTCGTAGTCCAGGACACGGCAATCGGTACATTTTGATAAAATGGCGTATTGTTTATCAATTCAAATTTCAAATGTAATTATTGCAGAATTCCCGCCACTGAGGTATTTGGAAATGAGGCGTATTTTTTCCAACTTCGAAAATACCGCCTATTCGTTCTGAAGGTGGAAATTAAAATGTTAACTTCAAACGGCTTTGTCGTATAATTCGCTGGTTTAAGGAAAAGAAACAATTGCATCAGGATAGAATGGGCGTTAAGGAGTCATTCCAATGACAACTTTTCTTTGGTAATCTTCTTCCTCATGGAACTCTGATACTTCCTGTCTTTTGTAATTCTTATTTTATCTTGTTTCTATTTATTCCAATTCAAGTTCAGCCAACCATTTACAAAAGATCGTCAGAGACGTTATGCGCTTTTTTTCCCTCTGTCCCTAATTCCAGATATTATGTTAGCGTCGTGAAAAGAAAGAATATCAACAGATTTTTAAATGCGTAAAATATTGCGGAGTTAGTAGTAAGCAATTGAGTTAAATGAGTGAATACATTTTTACCAATAATAGTGCCACCCTGAACAGTCATGCTGATGTGAATTTCTTAACTTATAAGATGACAAAACAACCACGAAATGAACCTGCCTTTATAAATAAATATTCCGTCAGGAATTCTCAAAGTTTACTAAACCTGAAATGAAATAATGATGCGTCGAAGAAATTATTTCAAAATAAACGTGTGACACAAAATGAAGAATATCCCTCAGGGAAAATTAAAAGAAGTGTCCGATTTTAGTATAATCCTTTTGTGTTCTAATATATAAATTATAATACTTGTACAAAGAGATATTACTCATTCCTACTGATTAATGTGTCGTCTGTGATCTTATATCAATCTCTTTCAGAATGTTGTTCTTAGATACGTGAAGCGGCCTGTATATACGCTTGAAACAGTATAAGGGTGTTTGGAAAATAATGTCACAGATTAGAATACACCTTTTAATTTATTTTCTAATATATCATATTAATAGTTGCACAAAAATATATTACTCATTCCTAATGACTAAAGTGGCCTCTTTGTTAATTTTATAACAATCGCTTTCACAATGCTGTTCTTAAATATGTGACGCACCCTTTAAAAAACTTTAAAAAAAAAAACTCATTAGCAGTTGTAGAGGAAGAAGAGAGAAGAAACAGCTTTGCTTTATTTCTTAGAATAAGTATTGTCATTATTAAATTTGGTGTAATTTTTTAGTTCAGGTTTAAAGGTAGTAGTAGTAGTAGTGATATTAGGTTGTTGGAGAAATAATGTCCAATTTTAGAATAAAGCTTTTAATTGTGTTCTAATATATTATGAAAATAGTTGGACAAATATATATTACTCATTCCTGATGATCAATGTGTCATTTGTGTTGATCTTATATAAATCTCTTTCAGAATTTAACTTATTAGGTTGTTCAGAAAATAATGTCCGATTTTAGAATCAAATGTTTAATTGTATTCTAATATAGTATCATAATAGTTGCACAAATATATATTCCTCATTTCTAATGATTAACGTGCCCGACCCTTTTAATTTTAGATGAATTTCATTTAAAAATTAACTTATTTCGTTGTTCAAAAAATTATGACCAATTTTCGAATCAACGTTTTAATTGTATTTTAATATAATATTATAATATTTATACAAAAATATATTACTCATTCCAAATTATTAATGTGTCCTCTGTGTTAATATTACATAATTTTCTTTCAGAATTTAACTTAAAATATTATATACGCCACATGAAAGAAACAAAAGGTATTTGCTTTTTGGTTCACGCTTGGTCATAATACTTCGCAAACGTTAACAAAGCATTGGGTGATCGGGCAATATGGCGCTGGTTTATGAACTTACGTAGTAGGGAAACGAAGCTTGAAGGACAAGGTGTTAGGTGCCGTCCATTTGCAATTGACAATTAACATCTGAAAACAATAAGAAAAAACACATCAACTTCTTTCTAATCCTTTTTACAAATTATTTCTATCGAAAATACAAATAAAGTTATATTTTTTTAAAGTGCACACGAAATTTATGAACACCCTGTACTTAATAAATAAAATATAAATATTTTAAAATGTGGAGTTACTTTTCAATCAATTTTCATGTATATTCCAGTTTGATTTTTACAAAGTTGTTTTTCTTTTTTAAATTATTCGACGGGTTTTACTGAGATGCTTATATTTGTTATGCATTGCCCATCTCATTTCACGACTGGACCTTAAAGAAAAATGCAGTCTCTCGCAGCCGTTGTTAGATTTGCTGACATACCATTATAATTACTCTTAAATAAGGCATTATTTAAGCTTCAAATAAGGCATTTGAAAAGGCTTTATCTAAAATATGAAACAGTTTTTTTTAAATTATATTTAATAAAGTGATTTGTAAAGAAATCTATTTCTTAATAAAGTAAATCTGTCTATATCTCTGAGATGAGGTATTATGATTGCTTGCATTATTTACATTATCCGGAATGTAATCTTCATCTTCATTGTCAAATTCACAACGTTTCAGCCGTTGTACGCTCCGGCTTTCATCGGGTGACTCGAATTTCGAACCGAACCCTTTATTTCCTCCACCGGAGTAGTTTGTTCTAGTTCCATGTGCCATGCCTCTTCCTGATATCTCAGCTATTTCTCTTTAAGTCAACTCTTCAAGTTTGGTTCACCACTGCTGTGGCCTGGTATTGAGCTCACAACACTTTGGGTCTAGTCACTGCATCTAAACAACGTCTTTATCCACTGTGACAAACAGTAAAACAAAATGGATGATATGGCAAAATCGCTATCCTATTTAATCTATCTACTAAGCTATTTGGATTACAAAATGAGAAATATGCTTTCGCAAATCTGGTTTGCGTTACGATGCAAAAAAGTCTGGCAAAATCTAAGATAGTAGATATGATAAATTTGAAGCATGAAAATCTCCTACTGGAAGAGAAACAAGCCAGTGCGAGGTGTGAATATGAGACTTTAGAATCAAGCGACAATGGAAACTGGGGATTTCTTTAACAGTTGACACAAAATGTGACATAGAAGTCTAAAGCCCCATTGGAAAAACGGAAGATGCCATGCTGATGATAAAGGAAATATTGAGAAACAGCAGACTTTCGTTTCGAACAAATAAAAGCGTGTGGAAAAGTTACGAATATTGCATGAAATGCTGAACATTTGCAATAGGAGATCTGAAGCAACAGAGACATATTTCTAGAAAATGATGCTTAAAATCCAGCTGTGTTCGCTATATTCACTTTTGCACAAAGACAACTGGGAAAGGTAAACATCTTCTCTTCTAGATATTGGTTAATTAGTAAGACAAGCATCATTAAATCATTATTCTCTGGAAAATTTCATAGAAACTAAAAATATTTGCTGGCCTTAAATAAACGGCAAAGGTTTGATAACACGTAAAATTAATCAATCATTGTGAATTTAGATGGAGAAATAAGGAAAAACAAATGAAAGTTCTTTAATCAGCATTTATTAGATGTGAGATGTTTTTGCTTTAATTTCTTGGTAGCTGTGGCAGCAACATCAGGAAGACAATAAATTATATAACTTTTATAGGAATTTTATAGAACTTTAAATCCATGGCAGCTGTAAACAGCAACATCTTGAAGGCAATAAGTTTAGAAATTTTTATAGTACTTTTGTATAGAACTTTAAATCCATGGCAGCTCTAAACAGCAACATCATGAAGACAATAAGTTATAGAACTGTTTATAGAAGCTTTATAGAACTTCAAATCCATGGCAGCTCTAACCAGTAACATCAGGAAGGCAATAATTTATAGACTTTTTATAGAACATTAAATCCGTTGCAGCTTTTAACAACCACATCAGGAAGGCAATACGTTATATAACTTTTTATAGTACTTTGTATAGAACTTTAAATCCATGGCAGCTCTAAACAGCAACATCATGAAGACAATAAGTTATAGAACTGTTTATAGAAGCTTTATAGAACTTTCAATCCATGGCAGCTCTAAACAGCAACATCAGGAAGGCAATAATTTATAATACTTTTTATATAACTTTAAATCAATGGCAGCTCAGGAAAACAATAAGTTGTAGAACTTTTTGTAGAAGTTTTTATAGAACTTTAAGTCCATGGCAGCTCTAAACAGGAAGATTAGGTAAGCAATAAGTTATAGAACTTTCTAACAGTTGTCAATTGTAAACCAATTTTCTTTGATGAAAACATCTATATGCATATATCTCAAAACCCCAAAATAATTATCGAAATGGATCCATATCTTTCCTTCGCGTTAGAGTTTGCGATACTATCTTCCATACTTTTCTGATTAGATAACATTATCGAGTTTGAAAAGTAAAATTAGCAAAACCACTTCATGGCAGACGATCAGTCTACTTGAGGTAAGAATATTTCTATGAAATGTTATTTTTTATGCTTAATGGAGCTTTTCGGAAGATCACTTTTAATGTACGTCTCTTGCAACGGAAAAAATGAATAAAAGTATCGATAGGAAGAAGGTATCTAAGTGCTTTCTTCCATTGCAATTCAAAAGTCATGTTTCCCAGACATAAAAAAAAAACTTTTATATTGTATGGACAGTTGTAAAGCGAGGATGTTTCACAACTGTTTCAAAATCCCATAGCAATTTCAGGGAACACATTCTTAGTGTGGTTAAGGAAGTAGCTATATTCGAGTCATTATTTTGAATGTTTCTTTTATATGTTACAGATATTTCAGCTGTCTATTTCTGACAGTAAGTACACGTCTGCACATCACTACATATATTATTAACTTCCCTGTTGCTCACATGTTTGGTCCATGTTATTCTCAGCATCCTCCAGTAGTAAATTCCCTCAAGTGTCTTCTACATCCCCGATGAAACTGCCAAGCATTCATAGTTATGCA